GAGAAGGAAGTTTACTCCATAGAGAGAGAGAGAGAGAGAGAGAGAGAGAGAGAGAGAGAGAGAGAGGAAAACCTAATACAAAGTAGCCATACTCATGGAGATGTATATAATATGCTCTAGGATGTCAATCAAGATCCCTAACACATGGAACTACGATTCTTCATACCCAAGTGAGAAGGAAGTTTACTCCATAGAGAGAAAGAGAGAGAAAGAGAGAGAGAGAGAGAGAGAGAGAGAGAGAGAGGAAAACCTAATACAAAATAGCCATACTCATGGAGATGTATATAATCTGCTCTAGGATGTCAATCTTCACTTAGGTCACACAATTCGTCAACTTCACCCTCACGCTCTATGAGAAATACATTTATTTGGAGTTTCTATTATTATATTAGGTAGGATAATTATTATTATGGTTAGTAGAGATTTAGTCCAATTAGGTTAATCATTACGGTTTTCCAGTATTTCCTATATATATGTACTTTGGATTTCCGTCATAATCAATCAGGAAGAATATTAAGCAAAGTATCCTTCTAAACCTAATTCCTCTCAACTCCTAATTTCTCATCTCATCCTAGTCCAAGGCCTCGGCCGATTCCCAATTCTATTCTTTCTCATCTAAATCCCTAATTCTTTCTCTCAAACCCTAAATTCCTAATTGTCTCGAGTGCTGAAGATCAGTATCGAGAATCCCTAGAAGCAGGGTTCTCACACGCTCCCCCTCTAATCTGTCAAAACGCGGATTTTCTGGAATTCGTGAATAAATCGCGAATTATTTTCTGGGGGAGCGCGAACTTCGGTTTTGGGAGCGCGTTCTTTTTAGAAACTCAAGTAAGTCTTCTGCTCTCCCTTTCCAATCGACACAAGACGGCAATTTCGGTGATGCAGAACCTTCCTCGATTTAGTCCTCTTGGGATCTCTACCAGAACCTTCTTCGGTTAAAGCTCTTCTTCAAACTCTTCTTCAAGCTCTTCTTTAAAGCTCTTCTTCAAACTCTTCAAACTCTTCTTCAAACTCTTCTTCAAACTCTACCAGAAAGTTAAAGCTGATTACAATAGATTGGATAGCGGTGAAAGTGGTAGTACAACAACCTAACTCAAAAACCAATTGCCTCTGCAAATGAGTTTAGGGATTTGGATTTGCAGAAGAGAGAAGAAAGAAGGCCTTATCAAAAAGAGGGAACAGATAAGGATAAGACGAATGAGATGGGAGAGATTGTGTGGCTCTCTATTTCTTTTCTCTACTTACTAGCTTTTTTAGTGGGCTAGGCTTAAAACAACTACAAAACAGGCTAGAATCAATTAAAATGGCCGGTTTATTAATTTGTGACAGCCCAAATAGAGCTTAGCCCAGCTGAAATAAACGTAATCTGGTGTGTTAGACCCAAACTAAATATAGTTACAGAATAAATATCATTAGAAATAGAAAATTTGTGTGTTTGCAATATTATCAAAAACTTACATGAGATTCTCATTAAAAAATGGACTTAATTATTTCTCAATGTGTATATTTGCATTAATTACTACTATAATAATTTGAAATTTTATATAACATTTCATTATAAATAATATTATTATTGACGCTCTCATCGCGCTCTGAAAATTCAATTCTCAAATAATTGACGCTTTCGCGCTCCCCCTCCCGCTCTCGCTCTCGCTCCCGCTCTGCGAACTGGTAAGCTAAATCTTCACCCCTTGGGACAATATCTTGGCTTCAATTGTGAGAAATCAGCACCAAATTGCTCCTAGGTCTTGTTCTTTGTCACTTTCTCTCTCTAGAACTCGGTTTTGTTGTAAAAAATCAGATACCTTGAAAAGAACCCGAAATTGAAATTTAATCTCGCAGCTGGGCAGAACTCAGTCAAGTTCCTTGCCTGAGTTTTCTCCCAACCTAGGTTTGCCTTATGCGCTGTGTTTCACTTAAATTCTACTGTCTTCGGGATTCAACACGACAGTCAAAACTCGGCCTCATCAGTGGAAAAATCGTTCGAGTTTTGTTCTTTGGCTCGACCGACTTTTTGTCTTCATCAGCCCAAACTCGACCTCGTCTATGGAAGACTCGATCGAGTGTCGTCCCTCAAAACTTGATCTTAAGAGGAACTCGATGGTGTTCCTTCTGGCCATGCTCGAGTTTCTTCCTACGAACCGCCATGTGATCCCCGAATGACTTTAAACTTGCACCTAGGCCTCCCTTTATCTTTTAGGACCTAAAATGTGGCAAAATATCACTTTCTCTCTGTTATTCTGCATTGGCCAAATTCATTGAAACCAATTATTTTCTCTCTGTTATTATGTATAGGCCAAATTCTGTAGAGCACAAGAGTGCAGGAGGTAACAATATGTTAATATTTACAAGCCAGTCTACTAAGAACACTGCTTTATGAGCATCATTAAAATTTTGTGGCGGCTCTATTTTGCTTCCATTCTTTTTTTCTTTTAGAGAACCACAACTCTTGCCACATTCTTTATCTTTTCAAGCACTGCCAACTTTTAAGAAATGCCTCCAACACTCATTCTATGTCCAACAGAAAACACGCAAAACCCACTCTGTGGAACCTCTAAGAGATGCATAAGGGTGCTTTTTCATTGTAGACACAAAGAAAGAAACTTACACGGCTCAAGGGGCTGACTAAGGGTTATGACACACCATGACAGTCAATTTGGTCGTGGGCTAATCTTATACCTCCATCTTCCTAATTATTGGCAATGTGAATGCTACACATCATGGTAAGAGGGATCTATCGCACAAGAAAGAAACGAACAAGCTCAAACCTCACATGGCTACCTATATGCTCCATCTCACATTTTGATTTCTTAACCTCTATGCATAAACAACTATAAGAAATGAGTGATCAATCCAAGTCGCAGTTGGTAAGCAAACAGTTGAAAAAGAGAACCCTACACGACTCTACAGTACGTCTAAGTCATCATTATAGGTCATCTCAATCACAAAACCACAATGTTCATATGATCATGCACATATCTGTACTTGGAGCCCTCAATTTTTGAAATTTGGACAATCGACTAGGCTCCAAGGACACACATACAACCAAACATTCACACACATACATAATAATACACCCCCCACACTGAAGCAGGATATTGTCCTCAATGGAGGAAAGATAAAGAGAGTAGAACGAAGTTACCGGATTGGGTGTGAATGATGCTGGACGGGGCAGGTGGTGCATTCTATGGGGAGAGAGCGGTCAGAACACAAAATCTCACAAAGGGCAAGTTATTGAATCTAACATCATAGCACAAAAATTACTCATCCGAAGAGAAATAGGGAAAGAAATGCAAACCCACTAGTTGAGTTTCCTCCCAACAAGCGCTTCTTTCACGGCGTGAGATGAATGGTGTCATAAGCTTCGATCCATCCTAGAAATTATTTGAAGTTGAGGTTCTCATTGATAAGTTGGAGTCTCAAATCACGAACAGGTGGTGTACTTGGTGATGTGAGCTCGTGCACTTGATGCATATAAAGTCTCCACTCTCGAGACATCTTCTTCTCTTCTTTTCTCGTCTCATTGCCCCAAAACAGATATGACAACATCGATTGAAGCCACCACTCTCTCAATCTCTAGTTCGAGGGAGTTCGATTCAAGCTACCAAAGTGACTCTCTTGACCTGTCGACTAAGGGTTACCAAGACTTCACCCTCGAATCGGAGTTTGGACGGCCAATTACACTAACCCTAGGTGCTAATACAAACTAAGAGGGTTGCCCTACATTAACCTAGAGAGGATACAATGAATTGCCTAAAAAAACCCAGCTTTGAAAGCCTCTTTCAAAGAAAGGGATTTTTCTATCTACCTAGGTTAGAATGGCAAATAGATTGATAGGAAAACACACAAAACAATCTTTCATGAAAATACCTCCACATTTACATTAAGCACATCCACACACAAATCATTCAATCCATACAAGCATTCACATAATTGTAGCTAGAGTTTACAAACACCCAAGTGAAAGAAGGGACTACTCCATGTTAGGAGAAGGGAAAACACAAGAGAGAAGAAGGAAAACCATCAATGAGATGCTAGTCTTGCTCCTTGTGTTGAAGAGATCCTCCTTTGGGGGAGGAATTCCCAAATCCTTGCTTGAAGACGAAACCCTAGCTTCTCCTCTTCTTTGGTTCGTCACTTTCTCACTCTAGAAATCTAAAGAAGAAGAAGAATAAGTTTCTACACACTAGGTCCCTCCCTTTTTTCTCATTAAGATCAACCTCCTTTTATACCCAGATCGGGCTCAGATCACGGTCCCAGTTCACGGTCGTGAACTGAAAGCACGGACCGTGATCTCATGTCAAAACGCATCGCATCACTAAGTCGAGTTCATTGGCAAATCAATGCAAGTCTCGACCGGACTACTCACCAACTACAACCAACCATGCATAGAACTCAAGTCCAAGGAACAAACGACGGGGCAACATAGGTCCTCACTGGGGTAAGATATGAACATGCAAAACCAAGAATGAATCATTCACTCTCGACTAGTGGGGTCAGGACCTTTTTGGTGAAAAAGATGAGCACAATCATCAACACTTAGCCCTATCGTCTTTCCAACATGGTGGCAACCTCTAAATGCTAGAGTTCATGGGACGGTTGTCATCACTAGCTTGTTTGGAGGTCGTTCTCGCTTTTGAGCTTCATTTAGGTTTTGCATGGTTCTTGCTAGAAATGAGAAGGTAGTGTTGGAGGAAAGTTCTTAATGGAGAGCATTGTTCATTTAAGGATAAGTGGTATGTGTTGTACTCTCTAATACCCCCTCGAAAAAAGAGAAAAAGAAAGAAATAGCAAAAGAAAGAACATAAATGAAAAGAAGGTAAATATTTCTAGTGACTAAACATGACACGTTTGAATAAATCGAGTGACCAAATGTTGAATGATCCATCACCAAATCCATCAAGCAAATAACCCCTACATACCGTTTGGTATAAATGAATTCAATAAGTTTTGAGTAATTATTTTTGAAATGCTCGCAAATAGAATTATATCCGCGCACTCCGAGATTAGGGTTTTGGCTTCCCCATATATAGCCTTTTTTCTCCACTGAACTATTTTCTCTTTCCCGATCTTTAAGTCTCGTCTTCAAAGTCTTCAGCCAGTTCATTATCCATGGCGGTCACATTCTCAGATCTCCACACCGAGGGTGGTCTTAAAGCCCTCGAGGCCTTCCTCGCCGGAAAATCCTACATCTCCGGGTTAGTATTACTTCCCTCGTGTTTCATCTTTGTTCCTGTGAACCTCGAATTTGTGTATATATTTGCCAACTGATTCCAATTGCTTCGTTGTTCGCCCAGAGACAAGTTTACCAAGGATGATGTGAGGGTTTATGCTGCTGTTCATGGTGTTCCCGGCGATTCCTTCCCCAATGTCTGCAAGTGGTACAACTCTGTATCTTCAAAGCTTGCTTCGAGGTGGGTAATTCGATCGATTTTCGAGTGAAAGCTCGTAACTTTTTTTATGTTAGTGTCTAGTGGCTTTCTTAAACCCTTTTGCATTGATTAGTCGGCTGATGGGTCTTGTGAGTTGGTGGGGTTTTCTAGCTTCCCAGGAAAGGCTGCTGGTGTAGGAGTTGGTGGCGCCGCCGCCTCTGCTAAAGAGGTACGTTTTCGGTTCAATTCTAACTGTGGATTAGTTGGCATGTTCTCTTTTAGTGTTAGTTTACTGCCATTACTTCAGCACTGATTGTTTTTTCGATCCAATGGTCACTGATGTGTTAGTCTCGTTATACTTAGATCATATTAGACTAGAAGGAACTCCGATTACTCATTTTGGTAGTTAGCTGACCAGAATACTGCGTTGTTAGGTTGTTATGGCTTCATCGATGAAGCTCTATCAAACACAGATCATATTTGGAATTGAGAGCAAATAAATGCTCTACTCTCTGGTTTAGTTTGCTGGAATTTTGTTAATGTTGGTAGTTTGATCGAACCTAACTCTTGGCCATCCATCTAAAGGCTGCTCCTGCTGCTGCTGCTGCTGGAGATGATGATGATGACGACTTGGATCTTTTTGGCGATGAGACCGAAGAGGACAAGAAGGCAGCGGAGGAGAGAGAGAAGGCCAAGTCTTCTACCAAGAAGAAAGAAAGTAAGCTTTATCTATCTGTTAGTAGGAATGTCATTCAGCTTTACTTTTGGTGGCTTGTGTTTAAGCAGCTGTGATAATCTGAAACGTTGTAATGGTTACTGTAGGTGGGAAGTCATCTGTTCTGTTGGATGTGAAACCTTGGGATGATGAGACAGACATGAAGAAGTTGGAGGAGGCAGTGAGGAGCATCGAGATGCCTGGTCTCTTCTGGGGAGCATGTACGTTTTGTATTATTCAAATATATGTTGTTTACACTTTTTTTATTTATTCTTATGCATTGCCCGAAGTTGTAATCTTGTGTATGATGAGTTCCTTGCAGCAAAATTGGTTGCTGTTGGTTACGGAATCAAGAAGCTCCAGATTATGATGACCATTGTGGATGACGATGTCTCTGTGGATACACTTATCGACGAGTACCTCACAGTTGAGCCCCGCAACGAATACATCCAGAGCTGCGACATTGCTGCCTTCAACAAAATCTAAGTCGACTCTTTTTTTCTTCCTATACCTCCATTCTGACTAGTGTTATCTGTTTCTCTTCTGCATTGTGGCCTTTTCCCCTTTTAGTGATATTAGGGAGAAGAATACGTAGATGGAATGGCCTTTGAATATGTGCCCTTGTTCGCTTTGTGAAAGGTCAATGAAAACGTTTAATCCAATTTTGGTTGCTTATGATGTTGGGACTCTGACAGACGTCGGTACTCTGATATCATGATTGCAAAACACCATGAGTGAGGTTTCTGAATGCACCAGCATATGAGCAATTGCACTGAGAAAATAACCAGAAGCAAGTGCTGCATGGTGGTTGCTTGAGCAAGACCTATACCAGAATGTAGTGAGAAATGCTTCTCCAGGAACGACAGGTCATTAAATTATTTACTCTCTTTGCTCTTCCTTTTTGTAGTTTATTATTATCTGAGCCTGAATTCGTCTACAGACGTCATTACCGTGCCCATTGACTAGAATGAATGATATATTATTATTTATAAAATTATAGACATTTTATTTATAAAATTGTCATTGGTTTCATTCACTGGGACCTAATTGTTGTTCTATTTCTTTTCTTCTACCATTTTCCTCTCATCTCTTCCCTCGTATTGTCGGTCTCTCCTACGTCCTACCTTGGCCTTCTCATTTGGATTTTCTTCATTTTTTATTCATTAGGAGATGGATCCTATATTCATTAAAAAAAGAGATGGATCCTATGCATGCAAAATATAGTATTTTCCCCAACTTAACATATACACTAATTTTATAAATTATTCTCAAACTATATATGTTTGAACTAGATTGCTTGAGACTCAAACGATCTGCATGTGAGTTGCTTTTAACAAAAGCGTTGAAGGATTGATTGCTGATTTGTTATAGGTGGAAGCTGTGCAAATTATTGTAGCACAAAGATCAGGCTACAAAATTGCTGGTGACTCCAGCGAATTTCACCTTATATTCATTCCTTCAGTCATCTGTAATATTGCGATTAGTTATTTGATTGACGTAATTTTATTTTATTTCGCATAACTATTCGAGATCTTTGAAGCCGTATGGTGTCAAAGGTATGCTTTCGTTGTCGAAAAAACAAATTGTTGTCCCAAACTGGCAACTGTGATTTCGTTGACCTTCAAACCACCATAAATTTGCTTTTGGTTATTCGATGAACACAATTTTCTTATTTTGCATAAATTTTCAAGGACTACCGCTTTTATGGTGGCTACTTCGGTGCACTCACAAAAATGAGTGTATTCAAAGCACCCAACTCTAAAAGTAGCCTTAAGGCATCAATTTTTTTATTTTGATTGGCAAGAGTGTAATATGATGATATAACATAAGATCATAACTAATCAATGCATTACCCTAAGCCCTAAACCTTTAATTTTGAACTTTTATCTAAACTCCAAATCATGAATCCTAACCCTAAATCCATAATTCCATCAAATTAATGTAAATTTGGAATAATTTTTGTGCTAATTCATGGGGTTTCTTGTTCGTCGTATCATACGTGATGATTAACATTGTATTGGCATGAATAGCCTGCTCATAATGACAATTATGAAGTGAGCGCATTGAATGCACCCAAAAAAGTGAGTGCACCGAAAACGTAACCCCGCTTTTATTATATAAGTATTTTTACATTATATCCCAAAAAGTGGAAAATAAATGTAAAGTTATCCTCAAAACCTTTTTTTTAAATGCTTTCTTTTGAAAATTGCGCCCCAATAAAAGTTGGGGTCGTTAAAAAATTGTTCTAAATAATAGAAGAAACAAGTTTGCCTTGATCAGAGGTCAGAGACAAACTAAGGGCCGTCCAAAGTTTAACGAAATCATAAATGGCCTATTTGAGGCATCAAAACGACCTTCTTTTTTTGCGACAAATGCAAACCTTTGACGATTTATGGCTTCATATCTCAAAAAGTTACGCGAACCTAAAAAATTGTTTCGATCAGATAACAGAACAAAAGGTTATCTCGATTTGAAACTCCAACATATGTAAGGTGAAAATCAATGGAGCCTCCGACGCTTTTAGAGCAACATCACTTTTGTGTTTTTTCCCCAAAATGATTTACTACATAGATAGCTTCCTTTAACAACGATCTACACATAATCCCTTTTGTCCAAAGCAATCAACATACATATCACTTATCAACATACATATCACTAGCTTTTACCCGACCCGTTGGTCGAATGAATTTTGCTTTATTTCTTTTTTAGTATTTGATGTTAAATTCGTTTATATTCTTAAATGATTTGAAATTTTGTAAATAATTTATTGTCAATTTAAAATTTTATTTTGTGTTATTTGTCGATTGTGATAATTAGTTATATATATTTGTGTTGATCAGGGCATCTTTAGATTAACAATGTTTATATTTTTATTTCTATTACATAAGAAATTTTGCACTTCTTATCGTCGACATAAATTGCTTAAAAGTATTTCTTCATAATATTTTGCATTACTAACTTGCTTTGCATAACCATCACCTGAACAGAATACTCACATCATCCAATCCAATATCAAAACCACCACTTATTTGGAAAAGCAACAACTATGCAACAGTCCTGAAATATTCAATGATGTACTTGAATACCACCAAGTCGAGAAAGATGAGAAAGAAATGTCTCAAAAAGCATTTCCACTATCAACCCTACCAATATCGTTTCTCGACGACAATTCTTAAATATATAAGTTATTTCAAAAACCAACATGTGAATCATAAATTACCAGGAAAATAAAACATATGAATCTTACAGTTCCCAACACCGAAATTGTTATCCCAACAATGATTGGCGGCGCTCCAAAGAGTAGTGATGTAATTGGGTTAGGCAACTCTTCTTGAAGATACCCTTGCGACTACGATGTTGGACTTGGACCCAAGCTTCAACGGAAAAACTCACCATCCATCCTTATGCACACCATGTGAAAAAAGGAGTTGCGATTCGTCGAGAGGAGGTAGGGATGACAAAAATACCCGTAACCGTGGATATCCGCCAGAATCCAATCTAATCGGATAGGGTAAAACCCAAACCTGAAAGACTTTTAGTGGGTACGGGTAAAACCCGAACCCGAATATTGCGGGTAATGGGTGTGAATGATTTTCTCATTATCCAACCCGAACCCGCCCGATTATACGCTTGCATATGTATTGTCTAGATATAATCATTCATTTTCTCTAACATATTTTATATTTAGCATATAAATATAATATTTTCATGAATTTGTGTTGTTTTAATTAACTTTCTCCGTTCTAGTGAATTATTGTCGTACTTTTCCCCTTATGTAATGTGAGAATACTTGTGAATGCTAACATATTGGTTAGAGTTATAAAGAGAAATTATTACCCATGAATAACCGTGGATACCCGAAATTCGAACGGGTTTGGGCATGATTTTGATTTTTTACCCGTTTCTTATGTGGGTGCGAGTATGGGCAAAACCCGAACTACTTTGGGACTTGGGTAGGGTAAAAATCCAAGGATATTAATCATAAAAAATAGCCATATTTCCCCATATATATTACCAATATGTAAATTGTCTACAGATAATCATATATTGAAGAGGAACAGTTAAAATCCAAGGATATTAATCAAATGTCATCCTTTCTTTTAGCTTGGCAAAGTACCCGGTAGCAATAATCTGACTCACAACTATAACACAAAATAATGGGAAAACTAACTGATTCGTTGAACAATCTTATGCATAGATTAACAATATACTTGCTTGGTATAAAATGAGACAAACAAATTAAAACCCTACTGCAGAAAGCAAGCTACAGTGAGCGAGCAAGGGAAAATACACCATAATCAAAAGCCTCAAACAGAGTTCATAAGCACTAAAATAATAACTTTTTGTGGTGGCTAAACAGAAGCTTATAACTATGAATCTTGATAATCATACAGATTAGACGGATGGCAAAAAGATTAAGAACACACAATTGACATCAACATATTAAAATGGGTCTGCTGTTCATTAGTTTCTCAATTCCACAAATTTTCTACAAATGATGGTTCCCATCAGCTGCAAACATAAATAATGGACGGAAAAGTTAAAATTTTAGGAGAAAGAAAGGAGGAAGAGAGGAACTCATATGAGAATTAAAGAGTTGAAACTTCTTGGCAATGAGTTCCCTCTGCCTCAGATCTTCACCGTGGATCTTTGAATGGCTTACTCTGAATCTTCAACTTCCTAGTTCCTACCAAGACCATCCCTACTTCTGTGACCAAGCTGTTGAAAAGTCACCCTAACCAAACCAACGAATCATGTTCAGCAACTGAATATTGAACAACCTGAATAACGCTGAACAAAAAGACCAAATAAAAAGACCAAAATGGAAATACGAACCAAATAAAAAGACCAACCTGAATAACGCTAAAATCCTTCTTCTACTATCACTCACCTCAAATCCAGCCTCCTCCTCTGCTGTCTTGCACTGTAGGAGATGAGAACACATAGATTTCTCATCGAAACTACACATTTCAAATATTTTGAAAAATTTAGGACTGTACAGTCTAAAACTTCTAAGGAAGTACTTGGTACTGTCCCCCTGCTCTCTCTATCAAATTTGGGTACCTATTTCCCTGCAAAAGAAAGTAAAACCTTCTTTTGGGGCTATACCAATTGCACCGTCCTGCTCCTGCCCTTCCCTCAACTTAAAAACGACAACAAAAACAACAACGCTTTCTAGTCTTTCACTTCCCTCCCCACCTTGCTTTCGTCCATAGAAACTTCTGCTAATAGGGTTCTCTCTTCTATGAGTAGTGAGTAGTTCCTTCCTTCCTTCCCCCACCACACAAAACAATACCTTCCTTTTCCATGTTGAAGAATCAGGACTTTACTGTCACAAAGTAAGAAGAAAATGAATACTCGAAACAGGAGAGGAAAAACTATAATATATATGTATGGGTCAGGATGCTACTGAATTAGAAGTTGGAATAACTCCTGGACTCCAGCACGCATACGCAATTTACCAAGGCTGTGACTTTGCAACATGGTTTCAGTGCTACTGTTTTTCTTTCTTTTTGTTTGTTAATCCTTTGGTAAACTGTTAGGGACACATCATGTTGCAAAGAAATGAACAATTAAGTCCTGGCCAGAATACTGCTACCATTATATGCTCATGACCCGGCCAGAATCCTGGCCGCAAACATCACAACACATATCATCTGTCTTCTTCGAGCAGTAATGGCCGCCATTCTCACCCATCATCCACCACATTGTTTCTCTCTTTCTCACCCCAAAAAACAAACAAAATCATAACCCACAAACCAAATCAAAGTAAAGCAATCAAATTTCCACTCCCAACACGACAACAAATAGAATCGAGCAGCTCAATGGCTCCTCCTTCCCTCTCCTCGACTCCGTTGCTTTCACCCTCCAATGTCAAATTTTTCCATCCTCTCTCCAAACACAGGAGGCAGATTTCTAGCTTAGGCTTGCCTATCCCCCCAAATCCCCCTCAGCTTCTCCCCAGCAAGCCGCACGGCGAAACGGTTGAGACAGAAAAACTCAGATTGGAAAAGAGGAAGGGAAAAATCAAAAAACCCCTTTTGATTCCTAGAGAATCCAATCCACAGAATGAAGAGAGAAAGGTAAGTGAGCCTCAATCGAAAATCAACCTCTTCGCCACGGGTTCGGGGGAGACGGTGGTGGCGGCGGCGGTTATTGTGCTTCTCGCCGGAGGGGACAGCCTCAATCAAATCTGTAAAACGGTAAAAGGGTAAGAAACCTCCTCTTCCATTCCTTCCGCAGATCGATTCTGTAAAAGGGTAAGCAGCCTCCTTCCTTCTCCTCCCTTTCACCTTTCCCCCTCTCTCTGTAATATGCCTGCAATTGCTCTTCCCTTTCCGTGACTTTCTTCTCTCTCTTAATAACCAGTAGAAAAGGTGGGCTTATTTCACCCAAACAAAAAATAAATGAATATTAAATGACAACGTGGGAAACGGAGAAAAGGTGGGTAGTGGACAGTTTGTTAGTTCTGCAATCAGGCGGGGACTCCTATTTTTTTCCCGCTTAACACTCTGCCACATCAGCTTCCTAAAATCACTTTATAGGCAGGAAAATTTGAATGGGGGATGCAGTTTTACTTTTCAGCTATAAATGATACTGTAGACTTAGATCTCAAACGATATGGTCCAAACATGTGTAGTTTTAGAATATACAAAATTAGTGTTTTTTATACTATTTTTAAGAAATTTTCTAAAAAAAGAAATTTTCTACTATGGGAAAAAAGCCCAACCTATAACAGTTTGTCATGCTCATAAAAAGTGATCCATACTTGTATATGTGGCTAGGTGACAAACTAACAATTGACCCAACGGTGGTTGGAAAACCACACCGTTATTTTGGAATTTTTTTCATAATCTCTTATAGAGACAAAACATCTAATGAAACCATCAAGTTTTTCTCTAATAATTATATAGGCCATAATATATATTGTTAAAGTTAATTTTCAACCTGCGTATCCACCTTTGATTTCCTTCTCTTTATCCTTTTTTTAAATTGACTGTCAAGATGATATGAATGGTAATTTTGGAAATAATACATGTACCACATTAAATTGTACCCATATTAATGTACATATCATATCCTCTTACTCAGAACCCTAAACCTACCCTCTCCTTGCTTCGTTTTCCCTCTTCTTCGTCCTCTCTCTTCGTCTCTTCAACTCGTCCACCCTCGAGTATTATCAATGCTTGATTGTTAGATCATCGATACTCAATGCAGTCAAAATCGCGCTTTAAAACTTAAAAAGTTACGATTTTATGCTTTTAGGTCACCAAAACGCTTTCGTTTCCATATAAAAATTTAAGTGTATAAAATCGGACTAAATTGCGCTTTAAAGCTTACGCTTTTAGTTCACCAAAACGTTTTACGTTTTTATGCTTTTAGTTGACTAAATGAGTATTCCCTTCATGAAATGAATTATAAAAAGTATATTTAAAAGTAAATTACCAACAATATGATACATTTTAGATTAAAAGATACATACGAGGTACTTGGATGCATTCTCAACTTCAATAGAGTAATCTAATTCACCAGCTAGGCTCTTCCAAATTCATTAGCATAGAGGGAAAATTTGTTTATTGTTAAAATTTATGTTTACGAACTTATTATTAAGATGTTATAAGTTGCTCTACTTTAGACATGAATTGCATGTATTTTTTAACTTATCTAAATTCTGTGCATTCATATTTTACATAGTATATGTCCTACTAAATAGATTTTTAGTAATTTTTCAGTATGCGTCAAAAACTTACGGTTTTACGATTTGATTCTACGCTTTACGATTTTATCCCTTTTCCGCTTCTAGGTAGAATCGCGCTTTTGACTGCATTGTCGATACTATAGACCATCAATTATGGCTCTAGAGATCTACGCTTAATCATGTGCTATCCTCACTACTTTTTTCTTCATTAATTAGGCGATGGTATGAAAAGAAAGCACACATTAGGTAGTCAAGTTCTTATTGCATGTCGCAAAAGGTCGAGTAAGATGGCCTTAGTATAAGAGATACAGTGATGCTATAGATGACTCATTGGTGCATGATATGAATGAGTGTTAATATATATGTTTAACTCGAGTATGCTTTTCTATTCAATAACCTATCTTTACTTTGATGAATCTATATAACTTGAAAATCCCTAAACAATATTTACTTTTTTGGCTTTGCTTTGATGCTTTACTCGAAATACCCTAATGGTCTTTAATATTCTTGTTCGAGTTTGATGGTTTGGTGTGAGTAATTATGCATTAGAAGATATTGCGGAATACGACCCTAGGGCATCTTAGGATTTTTATGATCACTTGCATGTTGCTTGCATAAAGTTTTTGGCACTGTTGCCGAGGATTTCTGATCATATATAAAAGCATCTAAACATCTTATGTCTCTTAATTAGTTTTAGTTTAGTTTGTTTTGCAGGTTCTCATATGAGTACAGTAATTACTAGAAGAAAAACAGAAAACCTAAAGATAGTTCAAAAGATCGTCCAAGAAGGAGGAGCATCGAGTTCACCCATCTTGACCTCAAAGGAAGGAGAATATAGATCATGAGAAGAGGAGCCTTCAAGTCACACCAATTTTGAGCCAAGCTTGGAAGAGGAGGAGTTCATTGACGACGATTGCAAGTTCAATTCTGAAGAAGAAAGAGCCTCTTCATCATATTCTACACCATTATCAATGGCTGGAGAAGAAGGAGAAAGACGAGTTGCCATCCCAACCACAATCTATGATTATTTGAGGCCAAGAGCATCGAATATCAGATCAAGTATTGCTACACCACCTACTACCATTGAGATCCACACTCAACTGATTCAAATGGTGCCACATGCTGGCATATTTGCTGGAAGGAATGACAATGATCCTGTTCAGCATCTGAAGATAATATTGGAGATCGTCAATTCCGTTCCAGGAGATGAAGCTACCAAAGATGTAATCCGGCTAAGACTTTTCCCATTCTCACTTGTGGGAAGGACAAAGTTGTGGTTAGATTACCATCCACCAGGCACTTTCACCACATGGGAGACCCTTGATTAAGAATCATTGAAGTGTACTTTCCACCATGGAAGACAGAGGAGGTTAAAGATGAAATTACCCAATTTCAATAGAAGGAAGGCAAGACATTTTGTGACACTTGGAGGAGATTCCAGGAGTATATCAAGTTGTGCCCCATCATAGATTCAAGCCGAAGCATATTTCAAAGTACTTCTCCAAAGGCTTAGATCAAGCCACCACTATGACGGTCAACCAGTCGGCCAGTGAAGATTTCACAACAATGACGGGAGTGCAATGCCAAGAACATTTTGCCACACTAGCAAGTAAGCCCAAGAACTAGTCCAAACGACCATCAACGATCAAACCATTAAAGGTTTTCCTAGGAAAGGAGGAGGATGTCTCCAACTTCTATGAGCATATGAAGGAGCTATAACAACAACTAAAGAAAGCATCAATGGAGCCAAAGTATGGACCAATGGCACCATTGTCTGTATGTGAAGCATGGGAGAAGAAGGTCAAGAAGGAGTCAACTGTTATAGCCATGGAGGGCAAGGACATCCTTGTGTCAAATACCTTAACCAAGGCTAACAATCAAGACCTTAACAAGGAAACTACCCTCAGTATCAAAGATTCAACAAACCTCGTATGCCTCATGGTCAATGAATGGCCCCAGGAGGAAAAAATCATGAGGACTACCCCAACATCACCTCTACCAATGCACCTTATATTCCTGAAGCACAATAGTAGAAGAAACCAATTCCACCTGGATTAGGTAACCAACCTCAATAAAATGCGCAAGGAGAATGTGTCTCCAATAAGCAATTCACCAGATTCGAGAAGCTTGAGGCAAAAGTGATAGGATTGCAAGCGAGCCACAAGAAATCGAAAGACAACTTGCACTCCTAGTTGATTCTCAAGCTCAAAAGCCTCAAGGAGACCTATCGAGCAACACATAGAACAACCCAAAGAAAGAGGAAGTCAAAGTAATCCCTACAAGGATGGGAGTAGCCAAAAGTTTCCCAAACATTAAAAAGGAAGAAGAGAAGAAATGATTTGAGTATCCATCCCTCTTAAGAAATATGGTAGATGCTTTTGGAGGAGTAGAATTGGCAGTGCGACTATAGGAGAAGCTCATTTCAATGGAAGATCCCAAGGCGAAGCTCAAGATTTCCATTGAAGAAGATGATAAGATCGAAGAGGAGACCATTATCAAGAAAACCCTTAGGGATTATGCAGAATTCATCCTAGTTAATGAAACAAAGGAGGATCCAGGGTATTGAGTCATAAAGTGTTTTCTAGATGGCCAGCACGTGGAAAAAATCTAGTTCACCTTGGCGCAATCATCAACATAATACCACTACATCTATATGAAGATATATGATTAGCTGACATAGAGGACATCAACGTAAAGATCGCGCTAGCCAATAACACCCCTTGCGCAGTTCTTAGAGTGGTTAGAGGCCTAAGCACCTAGGGGTGGGCATACGGTTCGGTAAAACCGAACCTAACCGAACCGGACCGAAACCGAATAACATTAATTCGGTTCAGAATTCGGAAGAGAAAAGGGTATATTTCGGAAACCAAGGTCCTTTCGACCGAACCGAATTTCCGAATTCTGAACCGAATTTCCGAATTACTGTAATTGCAAGTTCCAAATGGTGGATTTTTATGTTTGTACTTATTATGAGACTTAAATATTTGAAGTATGTTAGTGTTTTATGACTTACGTGTTGAAATGTTTGATTTTATCATTGATGATGCATTTAATTGCATATTTATTGTTTACATTAGGGGTGAAAAATAATTTAAAAGAGAAAAAATACAAGCTACCCTCACAAGTTCGGTTTTTCATACAAAACCGAACCGAACCGAATTATAATTCGGTTTGAACCGACCGAACCGAATTATAATTTGGTTCGAATTCGGTTTGAGGTTTGATGGAACTCGGAAATCCGGTATACATTATTTCGGTTCGGTTTGAACCGAACCGACCGAATGCCCACCCCTATAAGCACCCAAGCCGACCCATTCGTATTCTTCCTGACTATGAAACACCATAGTCTTTCCAGGCACTAATTCTACCAATATGCCCTTGTTAAACTGAAAAATGCTCAAGAACAATAAACGCTAAAAGCAACCCCAAACATTTTCATAAATAAAATAATGAAATCACGCTCTTGTAGTTCAAAGCAACGGCCTAACATGTGGGCAAACTCAATCCTTAAAATCTCAACCTGATCTCCACTCTATACTAATAATCATAAAATGTAACAACTAAATAGTCTCAAATGCTGATGCTTACTGAAATTCTTGACTAGGCATACTTCGTAATGCTCGTATCGTCCTCCTCTAGCTGGCTACCCTCGATTGTTTCTCTTGAAGTCACTGCTCTCTAACTGCTGAGGAGCATACAGAAGTTGTCACGGAGAGCTGGTGGCAGATCACACCTTTCCCCATTTATGCTATGACATGTTTGGCCTGAGTGAGGAGATGCAAGATGATCTCATGAAAGAAATTGCTTTGCGACTTGCTCTCCAATCCGTGCTAGAAGAAGAAGAGCATGAAAGGATGAGGAAAGAAGTTGTGGAGGATGACGAAAGTGAATTAGAGGAAGTTCTTGATCTTTCCCAAGGGGAGGAATCAAATTCTGAGAAAAGAAGAGGGGTTGAAGAAGCAATTGACGTCCAGGCTGTGGACGAAGTTTAGGTGGAAGAGGCTTGCACCGGCCATGAGTTACAAGTGATATCTCCGCCAAATTTCGAGGAACTGTTTGGGAAGGACCCGTTTGTAGTGTATCTTTGCCAGACCAAGACCACATCGACATCGCTCCCTCTTGGTGGACGCGATGGTGGTCAAACGTTGCTGTCATTTCTGATTTGGGGCAATGAAACAAGAGAAAAAACGAAGGAAAGGTCTTGCGGCTGGAGACTTGATCTTCCTCGAGTGCACGAGCCATCTTTATCAACTATCATACAACCTGCTCGTGACTTGAGAATCCACCTCATCGACGAGAACCTCAACTTCAAGGAGGTTTTGGGATGGACCGAAACTTAGGAACCATTGTCCGGCTCACGGCGTGAAAGAAGCACTTGTTGGGAGATAACCCAACTAGTCGGTTAGCATTTCTTTCCCTATTTGTCTTTGGTTGAGTCAGTTCTGTTCTTTGATTTTAAAGTCAATAACTCCACCTTTATGAGATTTTGTGTGGTGTTTGTATTCCGAATGCTCTCTCTCCTACTGGAATGCACTGCCTGGCCCGTCCACCATCATACACACTTGATCTAGTAACCTCGTTCTACCCTCATTATCTATCCTCCATTGAGGACAATGTCGTGCTTAAGTGCGGGGGTGACACGCCAAAACACAACACCAAACTGCGACCAAGTGTAATCGCAGTCCGGGAATGCAGTAACAGGCAAGTTCAATTATCAACTCGGAGTCTAGATCTACTGCTTACTCTGTGATTCTCTATTATCTAGCAAACTAGTTCGAGTGATTGTTGTTAAAAGCAAAAGCAACAAGAAAGCAGTAAATTGTTCGGTTTTCAAAGTCAGGAAAGAGTCACTCGGGATTGAGTCCCCCTAGCCCCTTAGTTAGGTTCAATTGTAATTCCCCTGGGTTGATTTACTGTTGATTAGACTGCGGAAGCTCCGACAGTAGCTTGGAATCTCTTAAACTGACCAAGCCCTCTCAGTCTAGCTACCCGGCATACGACTAGTCTTCACCGGGATAGAAAGCTGAAGCAGTAAGCACAGAACTCCACTACTGGAATTGAATTCCAGTACAAAGCAGTAAAATGGCTAACTCTCGTATAGCCAATCTCCTACTATCGACTGAAGAGACTCTAACAACCTAATCAGATTCTATCTATCTCAGGTTGCAGCAGAAATTGAGAAAAGCTGATCAGACTCCAATCAATTCAATAAACATGCATCATTCGACTAAAATCAAACAGTAATATCATCCCAAGTCATTACAATCAAATCCCTAACACCAGGAACTAGGGTTCTTCATACCCAAGTGAGAGAAGGGTTCTACTCCATAGAGAGAGAAGAGAAAACAGTAATCAGAGTAGTCATACTCATAACGATGAGGAAAATCTGCTCCGGGATGATGATTTCCACTCCTATGACGATCTCCAAGCTAGATTCGACGAAACCCAGCTCCGAGATAGCTTCTAGGATGTGTTCTTCGCACTTTCTCTCTCTAGGGCTCTGTTTTTGCTCTGAAAACTCGATTCTCCCACTTTTGGCTCGGAATAGGCTCTAAAACCAGGATTCCCCGACTCGCACGGCCAGGGTGCACGGCCGCGCGACTCACCCACTTGGCCGTGCGGCTCAAAACGCAACGTTTCATTAAGTTTGATCCTCAGGCTTGTCACACGGCCAGGGTGCACGGCCGTGTGAGAATCCCAGTTTGCCCGTGCTCGGCCTCGGCAAATATCACACGGCCAGAATTGCACTTAGCACGGCCGTGTGAAGTTCATGGGTTGCCCGTGCGTGGCCTCGGCAAAAATCACACGGCCATCTTGCTCACTTGCACGGCCGTGTGATGCCCTGTTCTGCCCGTGCGGCTTCCTTGACACCTCGCCACGCGTCCGATCTTCGTCCAATCGACCCCAGACTCGCTCCCAAGCCTCCATTCACTTACTAGGACCTGAAATATCACAAACAAGCACAACCTAGCGTGAAATCGGCCTAAACCACGAGAATCAACACCTCAAACGGTGTAAGAACGAGGGTAAAAACATGTGTAAATAACGGTCTATCAAACTCCCCCACCCTTAACCGTTTGCTTGTCCCCAAGCAAACCAAGTCAGACACCAGGTAAGCTTACATATTTCAATCAACCAACATTGAGGACAAGTCATAAAGGCACAGAACACTTGAGTCGTACTGGTTTTCAAACATCAACACATGAACAACCTCAATAGCAACCGGGACAACCACCACAAAGGACATTCGAGTACAGCAAAATCGAGTAAAGGAAGAGTCTCTCTTCTGTTCACCAGCCAACCTAGACTTGACTCA